AAAGACTAGAAGCCACCAGAATGCCTAACAACCGAATTTGTACCACATATTCTGTGATATGAACAGAATTGAACAGAAACGCAGAGACAACAAGGGAATATATCATGCAGACTACCGATACAAGGAGATTACATACATATATGAGTGTGTATGTGCATGTGTGTGTGTGTGTGTGTGTGTGTGTGTGTGTGTGCAGGTGAACAACAGACATAAAAGACTATGACTGGCCAATGACAGGCCTTTCTATAACGATCCGACATAAGTCACGTGCAACTCAGAGACGCAGGAAGAAGCCTACCACTACCTCTCCTTGCAAACTTGGAAAGGGAACAAAATTTCCATTTGTGAAGTATCTCCGTGCACATTATCTGATTCAGCCTTTCAAACCACCCCGAGCGAGGCTCTGGAGTATGCTAAAGGCTGCGGCCTTCACAAGTGGGACCAGAAACCCCCTCCTCATCGCCCCCACTTTAGGGGAGAGCCAGGCTTTCCCAGCCAAAATAGACACTCAAAAATGAAGAAGAAAAGCAACTAAAAGCCAGCTGCAATCCCTCCCCACACCTTCTGGGATGGCTAAAAATAACAAGAGGTGAGGGCCGAGGGGAGCGACTGTGCTGCCTGGCCTGCGCTCTGGGCTGGAGGCCCCGGCTGCCCTGGGCTCACCTGCCGACAGCTCTGCAGACGGCGGGGGGCAGCGGCCCTGCTGAGTGAGCCCTTCTGGCACACCAGGCTGGAGGGTAGGACAGCTGGTGTGCCGGAGGCCCCTGGTTGCCGTGGTCCCTCGGGGAGGGGCACTGACTGGCCACCCCAACCCGCAGAGGTGAGCACACCTCAGGCTCCTTGCCCCAGGGTCGGGACAGGGACGCTCTCAAATAGAGACATCTTAAGGAAGGCGTCCTCCTTCCCTCTGACAAACCCTCTGCGCAGAGGGGAACTAGGGCAGCAGAGACTGCCCCGAGCACTCGCTGGCAGGAAGGCCAATGCCCAGGCTGTGGAGCACAGTGGTCAGAAGCGTGGATTCTGCGCTGCTAGAGACCCTGGTTCACACTCCAGCACTCCCAGCAGAAAACGAGCACAACAGAGACAGCTGAAGGCTAGCCCACAAAGATGCAGTCCCTCCTGTCTGCAGAGCCCTTCCCGATGCCACGATGAGGGCTAGCCAGGCCATCTGGACGGAGGAGGTCAAGTGACCCTCCTTCTATGGGCCCTGCTGCTGCTTCAGGAGACCCCAGCCAGGTACCCTGGGTATCGGTGACTCTGGAGCTCACTGGACTGAGACTCAGGGAAGAAGCACCCCAGGTCAGACTGAGAGGGAGCTGGGTGCAGGATGGTGTCTTCCTTGCCTCCTCCCTGCCCCCTTCTGGCTGTGCAGCAGCCTTGACTCTGCAGCAAACTGCTCTGGGCCAGAGGCTGCAGCAGAAAAAAAACCACTCACACAGTAGAGGAAGGGAGGGAGCCGGGGAAGCCAGCCTCCCCCATTGGGACGTGTGCATCGGGTGGGGGAAGATGGCCAGATGACCTTGAGCTTGGAAGTCCTTTCCCGGGCCTGTAGCAGCTCTGGACGAGCACAGCCATCTCCCAGGCCTGGCTTGCCGCCCCTCCCTCCCAGCACCAGAGTGGGGGTCTGGGCTGCCACCTGGGCCAGTCACTCCAGCGCTGCTCCTGCACAGGTGTCGGCTGGGGTGGCACAACTCAGGGCAGAGCCTGGCCGGGCAGAGGTGGGGGCAGGAGTGGAGGGAGGATGGCCTTGGACTCTGCCCTTGGGCTCAGCAGTCAGACTGTAGGCTCTGGTGTCCCCTTGGAAACGCTCTGCCCGTGCTGAGTCCCACTGCTGCGCACCTGCCTGCCACGCCCGGCCAACTCCACGAGGAGGGTAGTCTTTCCTCCTGTTCCCAGTCCCAGCCCCGCGTGTGGAGCACAGGGCTCCTAGTGTGGTGGTGTCCTCTCTGGGTGTCCTGTCTCTCTAGCCTGAGCCACAAGCAGGGGTCCCTTGAGGGACCAGCTCCAAAGCAGGACCCAGAGGGGACAGCCTGGAACAGTGCTAGGGCCACCCGGGCTACACAAGTCCACCTCCTTAGGATGCAGATAAAACTTATCCTCTGGCATGTGGTACACAAAACAGAGAATGAAAGAGAGAGAGAGAAACGAGAGAGAGAGAGAGAGCAGACAGAGAGAGAGAGAGACAGAGAGAGAGAAAAAGAGACAGAGACAGAGGGAAAGCACATTCTATCACACAATACCCTGTGTCCAGAGGCCCTGCGTGCTGTAGGGACAGGCATGGCAGCAGGTAGTCACCCTTTGTCACCAGCTGTTCTGAGCCTGTGTATGCAATTGACAGGTGAACAGGTTGACCAAGGCGATCCAAACCCCAGGACAGCTGCAGTCGTGCTGGCCACCTCTAACAAGGACAGTGGGCTGAAGCAGCCCACTCCAGCCAGGCTCAGGCCCCTCAGGTCTAGGGGATGCCCTGGTAGCCTGGCCTGCTCTGGGGCTCCCTTTGCCTCTGGGTTGAAGGCACGGCATCCAGCAGAATGACAGGCATCAGAGTCTGGGGGTCAGAAGCAGTGGCCCCTCCTCTCAGAGCTCTGTCCTGCAGGCAAAGCCCAGCGCGCTGAGGCCCACACGGCCGCCCTGAACACAGAGCCTGGGTGTCTTTCCCTCCTGGACCCCTGGAGACAGCCAGCCCGGCTGTGTGCTGCTATTCAAACCTAGCATCCTCGGGGGCTGTCTCGGCAGACAGGCCCGCCTGGACCTCTGCTGTCTGGTCTGCTTTTCTTTCTCCAAAGTCTAAAGGCCCCTTTGCTGGCATAGTCAGGCCTGCAGTCTGTCTACTTTCTGGCCCCACAGGACCCTATGAAGAGCTCCCAAGTGACTGAGACCCAGGAGGGAAACAGGGTGGGAGGGGTGGAGGAGCTGAGAGGCAACTCCAGACATCACGGCTCTGGTGGGCACAGGCAGGAGCCGCCAGAGAGGGAGGAGGAGTCCTGGCCTCCCAGCCCACCAGGGACAGGGCCAAGTCCAGGCAGAGAGATGTGTGGGAGCGGCCCGCAGCAGCGGTAACAATGGCGCCCTCCCATTCCACTGCACTCTGCACAGATCCGCAGCTCAGCCCTCAGCAGGTGAAGCAAGGACACGGCCCACACACACGCCAGCCAGGACTCCAGACACACCGGGCAGGAGGAAGCCCACGGTCTGTGCCCTTGCTGAGGATCAGGAGGGGGCATGTGGAAGGGATGGGGAGGATTCCTGAGGCCCGTGAGGGCTCCCTGCAGAGGGCAGGACCGCTCTTCTGATGAAACCCTGCACCTTCTCAAGCACAGTGATGTCCTTCAAGGCCTGGCTCAGGAAGTCCCACCTGGCTTCCCGCCCTGTCCACATCCTCTCCCTCACCTGCCTCCGGCCTGCATCAGCCACCACCCATTGTGGAGTTCTTAGTTTTTGTTTTGCTTTAGAGACAGAGTCTCTCCATGTTGCCCAGGCTCGTTTTGAACATTTGAGCTCAAATGATCCTCCTACCTCAGCCTCCTGAGTAGCTGGGATTATAGGCATGTACCACCAGCCAGGCTCTGCCTGGAGTTTGTCCCACCACCGGGCAGTGATTTTATTATTCCCCCATCCCTCGCCCTCGAATCTGTATAGTACTAGGGGATGGGGCTGGGGTTCATGCCTCACTGTAGGCCTCAGTCCTGCAGAGAGCTTCTGGCACTAAGTGCCATTCAAAGAGAGAAGGTGAGAACACTGAGGAGAATAACAGGAAAGAAGAAAGAAAAATAAAATGGCAAAGAGAGAGAACAAGGTAAAGAGCAAAAGAGAAGGAGACAGACGTCCTTGTCCCCCTGCCCCCAGGTCTGAGGACTCTGGGCCCACCCCTCTGGTAGGAACACATTGCAGTGTGGGGAGGGTGTGGGGTAGGGATGGAGGTGGCCAGTGGTGCTTCCGCTGTGGCTGCAGAAAGTGCTACAGGGTAAGCTGGACACTAGTGTGGCTCTGGCTGCACAGTGGGGCAGTGTTGAGCCTGTGTGCTGGTGCCAGGCTGCTACCTGGGATCAGGGTCTGCCGCTTCCTGCCATGGGGCCTTGGGCACGTCACCCAGTGCCATCTGTGAGAGGAGGCTAATCACAGCACTCACCTCATACGGCTGTTGGGAGATTAAGGATACTGCAAGCATTAGCTTTCAGTGTTACTGGGTAAGAAGCAACGCTTTGCAGGCACAGTCAATGCTCAGGAAATTCAGTGACTTCACAGAATGCTATCCTTCTGGCCCAGGGCTCAAGGGGACCCGTGGCTGTCACCAGCAACACAACTCACTCATCTTACAGGCAAGGAAAGTGACATGACGAGGCCACCCAGCTAAAGGCAGAGACGGGCCTGCCGCCCGGGCCTCCTGATGCCCAGGTGCTTATTCAGGACTTCTGCAGTGTGTGGCAGGTGCCAGGAGGAGGTATCGCCCAGTCCCACAGCCTGGTTGGAAATAGACTGTACAAGGACACAGCGAGGACACGCTGTGGGGGGCAGTGGAGAGAGGTGTGCGGCACCGTGGAGCGTCCAGGGAGGCGGCCTAGCCAGGGACGCCGTAGAAGCTGCCTGAAGCGGAAGAGCAGGTCGTGAGCAGGAAGCAGGAAGCAGGGACAGCCCAGGCAGAGAGACACCCTAGGTACAGCTCAGATGGCCCCACCAGGTCCATGGAAAACCCAGGGCCACTCCCACCCCTGCCGCCTGCCAACTGTCCCCAGTCTGCATCAAGTCTCTCTCTCTGACCGGTACCCTCCCTCAGGCAGCTATGGCCATGAGGCTCTGCCAGCAGGCATTGGGGGTTTGTCCAGGTTCTGAGCTGGGTACCCGGCAGGCCCTGGAGGGAGATCACACGCCAGCAGGAAGCTTCCCTCTGTGCTGGCTAAGGCGTGGAGGCCCAGTGGAGGCTCCAGCCTGTGGAAGCAATGCCCGGCCCACACAGCGGGCAGCAGAGGTCAGCACAACGGCATGCCGGGCCACTCACACACCTCCTGCGTCCACAGTCTCCTTCATGATGATCTCCACCCGCTCCACCTGGTGCCGGCTCCACAGCCTGTCCAGAGCCTTGCGGTTCTGGTCTCGGAAGGGCAGGATCTGCGCCACAGCCTGTCAGGGAAAAGACTGGTGGTGTTGTGGGTTCTCCTCATAGGGAACGACGAGCCCTGACTCCCAGGCAGGCCCAGGCCATTCCACTCCCTGCTCAGAGGAGGTGCTCTCTGAGCAACAGTCCCTGAACTTCAGGTTCAGGGCCGAGGAAAGACTCCAGAAATGGGCCGGGCATGGTGGCTCATACCTGTAATCCCAGCACTTTGGGAGGTAGAGGCAAGAGGATTGCCTGAGCCCAGGGCAACTTGGCGAGACCTCATCTCTACAGTAAATAAAAAAAATTAGCTGTGCATGGTGGCACTCGCCTATAGTTCTAGCTACTTGGGAGGCTGAGGTGGAAGGATTGCCTGAGCCTGGCAGGTCGAGGCTGCAGTGGCCATGAGCGTGCCACTGCACTCCAGCCTGGGCAACAGAGTGAGACTCCAACTCAAAAAAAAAAAAAGACTCCAGAAACTTTCCAGTGACCTCCAGAGGGTGACCAGTTTTCTACTTTGCCAAGAAAGAAGGTATTTTAAGTAATCTATCTTCTACTACTATCAACTTTAATAAAATGCAGGTATTTTAACATCAGAAATGTAGCGAGAAAAGCTTCCTACTAAACACATTCAATGTTTTTTCTCATTCTGCCATAAACACGTGGAAACCACCCAGGATGGGCGCTGGTCTCCCCACTACGCTTACGAACACTGCTGCAGGCAACTCCAAACAGGGTGGGGAGGACAGTGAAGTTCTGTCCTCAGCAACCGTCTGTGCTCACCCACATGGCCAGGCTCACCACCTCGGGACGAAGGACACGGGGTGGCTGCAGGGGTCTTGTGACTGGATGCCTGAAGGGTTCTGCAGCACGTTCAAGTGACCTGGTCAGCGTCACCCAGGTCAGCCCATGCTCCTGCCCCGGGCCTGGCTGAGATGCGCAGCCTTAGAGTCCTGCGGCTCCCTATTCTGTTTTCAGATCTTGTTATCAGCCTTCTGGTTCAAAACAGAACCCAGGAAGAAAAAGATTTCAAAATAAGGCAGGTGGGTGAGGAAGCCAGCTCTCATTCCCTCAGCACACACAACCAGAAGCCAGGCCCAGACACCAGAGTCTCTGGGCCACCTCCAGAAAGGATGCAGGGCCCTGCTGAGCAATCAGTGCCCAGACTGTGGCTGGGAAACCAAGAGGATAGGGGACTCACAAAGGGCAAACGAGACCAGACCTGTGGACAGGGCCCAAACCTGGACAATGACGGAGCAGTCCTGCTCTGCTGCCCAGATCTCCCTCTGCCTCCTCGCCTCCTGCCCACCCTCAAGCAAGCCACGGGAGCTCAGAGCTCATGGCACCCTCGGGCCTCATTCCACAGCTAATGGATGGCCTGACTGATGGGGTCTCACACACCCATCCTGCCAACCCCGGCAGGCTCTGAGTCGACGCTCACCTGCTTGCCCAGGTAATGGTCCACCCGGTACATCTCTTCCTCCTGGAAGAAGCTCCCAAGCTCTGTGGCCAGCTGCTGGGCTGAGAGGTGGTCATGGCCAAAGGGCTTCTCAAGGACGACCCGCAGCCAGGCGCCCGGGCCTGGACGGCAGCTGCTATTGATACTGCGGGCAATGTCCGCATAGGCAAAGGGTGGCACAGAGAAGTAGAAAATCCTGCCAGCCTCCCGGAGGGCTCCGTTCTGGACCCGTGCCTCAATGTCCTTGTTCAGGGCCTGATAGTCCTCAGTGGTGTTCAGTTGGTAGTACTGGCTCAGCTGCAGGAATTCATCCTTGTGTTCAGCACAGTGACCAGGTGCCATGTCCTCGGGGCAGGAGAGGGATTCCAGGGCCTTGGTCATGAGTGCCTGGCCCTGCTTGGGGGCCGTCAGAGCAGCCCCATGGAAGCTGAAGCTGTGACCCTGCCCTGCCTCATCCATGTACAGCTGGAACAGTCCCTGCCACAGGTACTTCTTAGCCAGGTCCCCAGTTGCTCCCAGCAGGATTATGGAGACGTGTCCTTGGAGCTCCTGGGCCTGCAGGCAGCCCAGAAGGGCCACATACATCGCCACCATGAGCATCTTCCAAATGCCTGGGTGCCTGGAGTGCACGGAAAGACAGGAAAGGAACAAGGAAGGATCAGACACGGTCTGGGTGCCTGTGATACGGAAGCAAACACATTTCTTGGGTATCAAACATTTCCTGTCTGGCAAGAAACAGCCACGTGTTTCTCAAAAAACTGTTATAGGCCCACAGCGTCCCCACAGCATCCCCTCCTTCCTGGGCAGCTTGGCTTCAGTGCCAGGAAGCCAGCGGACAGGGAGCCTACCCTGCAAACTGGGAGAGCCACAGGCCACTTGAAGAGCCAGACCACTTGGCTGCCAGGCATGGGATGAGATGCGCAGCCTTAGAGTCCTGCGGCTCCCTATTCTGTTTTCAGATCTTGTTATCAGCCTTCTGGTTCAAAACAGAACCCAGGAAGAAAAAGATTTCAAAATAAGGCAGGTGGGTGAGGAAGCCAGCACCAGACACCAGGGAGGCCACTGAGTGGCAGAGGAGCTGTTCAAGCCAGGCTCATTCAGGAGCACAGGTTGTCTGGATCACGGGGCAGCCCCAGCCAGGAACAGCACAGGCCCTCAGACAACAGCTGAACTGTGAGAGGGTCTAACTATGGCCTCCCCCTCGCTTCCCTTTCCCTGTGTCTCCTGGGTTCTAAGGACAAATGGTGTCTACTAACTGTGGGCACAGAGCGATTAAAACTTAGACTCTGGAACTGTGCTTGATCTGGAACCCCACTCAACCCCTTGGTAACTGGACAATTATTTAACCTCAGTTTTCTCACCTGAAATGGAGGTAACAGTGGCACCTGCATCATAGAGTGTCATGAGGATAAAAGGAGCCAATGTTATGCACTGAAGACAGTACCTGCCACTGACTAAGCACTGTATAAGTGGCAGCTACCACCATGAGCAGTGGTGATAGCATATACCAAGTACCAAACTAAGTGCCTGCATGCATTAGAGCTCACGGAATCCACAAGAATCCTGAGAAGAACCACACGAGGTGGGTCCCATGACAGTGCCCCCTTCTGCAGACGGAAGAGTTGAGGCTCAGGGTGGTGAAGGTCCCATAGCAAGAGAGCAGGGAGCTCCAGGGCTCTAGAGCTGAGCAGGCAGTGATGGCATCCTACGCTCCCAGGGAAGCCCCCACCCAGGCTGCCTGTTGGCCTCATCTGAAGCTGCTGATGTGCACAAGAGAGAGAGGCCTGGCTAGGTCATGAACACCAGAGTATTACTTTTTTCTGGCCTCTATTCTGATCCAGGATGCGGGGCTTACTGTGCTGAATTCTTACCTCACAGCTCTCCGGTTCAGGTTCCTAGTAAGGCCGGTGCTTTGAGGGAAGGGTAAAAGGAAGCAAGGAGAAAAGTAATCTAGGTGAGCACCATGGCCATAAGAAATTTTGGTGCTTTTTGTTTTGTTTTAGATTAGAAAATATAGTTTATTTAGAAAGTAAATTAGAGAGAGAGAGAAGAGGAGATTCACATCCCCCAGGTAGGGGAGTGGGCCAAAGCCAGAAAACACGGTGGCGGCCATAACTCTAAGAGTGCATAGCCACACCAGAGTTTAGTAAGGCAATGGCCTATTGGAAATATTCATAATTTTTTTTTTTTTTTTAGTCAGGGTCTTACTCTGTTGCCCAGGCTGAAGTGCAGTGGCACGATCATGGCTCACTATAGCCTTGACCTCGTGGGCTCAGACGATCCTCCCACTTCAGCCTCCCGAGTAGCTGGGACTACAGGCATGCGCCCCACGTCTGGCTAGTTTTTTTGAATTTTTGTAGAGATGAGGTCTCGCAGTATTGCCTAGGCTGGTCTCGAACTCCTGGGCTCAAGCAATCCTCCTGCTTCAGCCTCCCAAAGTGCTGGGATTACAGGGGTGAGCTACTATGCCTGCCTAGAAATATTAATAATTAATTAAAAACAGAAATAGACGGTGGAAATGGGGCCCCACCTGGGGTAGGAGTAGTAAAGAAGAAATTAAGATGACTGATTTAGCGCCTATTACATGCCAAGCATTTGCCAGATAAAGGATTAACAGAATCTTTAATAACCTTAGGAGGCTGTAGTCTGGTCATAAGAACAGGGAAGTTGAAGTTTAAAGAGGCAAGTGAGCTTATAAAAGCCCCCACAGAACCAGCCGGCTTACCTTCCTACCATTCCTACACTGAGGGCACCAAATTTGCCTCTCAACCCTGACATCGGAGCCCCTCCCCCCCACCTCCCCTCTGTCTCTTCCTTACGCCTCTCAAGACTCATCCCCAAGATAGCCCTAGGAGTGGAACCCAAGACGAAAAGCCAACAACAGCATCTGCGCCAGAGTCTGCAGGGCAGGTGTCCTAGCTGGAGGGTCCAGGGACCACTGGCTCCCGGCCTTCCCCACCCACTCTCCCTGTACCTGCACTCATTCCAAAGCACACACACGGGCCACAGGACCATTGCACTTTCTCCTCTTGCTTTCCAACCCCTGTCCTTGGCCATCCAAGGACTGTTTTCTCCACTGGCAATGGCCCCGTCTGGAGGGAAAAGCTGCAAGGTCAGTGCGGGAGAGAGGCGAGAAATCTGAAGCCCAGAGACAGCCTGGGGAAGGAGGAGCAGCCAGCTGGCAGGCTGCGCTTCAGAGCTCCTGATCGGATCCTGGGATCCAGGGCTCTGAATGCGCCGGGGCCACAGGGAGGGGCGCAGGAACCCTGAGTGCCAGGATGGGCGGGTGGGGGAGCCCGCAGGACCAGCACTCCGGCCCCAGCCAGAAGGCCGCAGCTGGCCCTGGTGGACGGCTGCCTGGTCTGAACTGACTCCTGGCCTCTATTTAATCCTGTTCTGTCTCCAGTTTGCTGCAGTCCTCCCTGGCCAGTCCTGTCCCATGTCCCCATTCTCAGGTTAGCTTCCCTTATCTCTCACTAAGTTCCCAGCACTCCTTTAAACAAACCCGAGATAGCAGGTATTTCAACATGGTTGCTTACTCTGTGGTTGCAAAACCACCAGGGAACATCTCTTCCCCAACCAGGGGTAGGTGGCTGCCTGTGCATTTGTTTATTTTATTACCATGGGTTTTAGCAGTAACAGTATTTCTCAAACTTTAACAAGCATTGGAATTTCCTGGGAATCTCTCTCTTTTTTTTTTTTGAGTTGGAGTCTCACTCTGTCACTCAGACTGGAGTGCAGTGGCCGCTCTCAGCCACTTGCAGTCTCGACCTGCTGGGCTCCGGCCATCCTTCCACCTCAGCCTTCCAAGTAGCTGGAACTACAGGCACGCACTACCATGCCCGACTAATTTTTTTTATTTATTTATTGTAGAGATGAGGTTCCATCAAGTTGCCTGGGCGGGTCACTAACCCACGGGCTCAGGCAATCCACTCACCTCAGTCTCCCAAAGTGCTGGGATTACAGGCTG